GTCTAGGGGTCGCGGTCCCCCAATACGAAAGTTTCAATAACTTGTTCAACTAGGGATACTACAGGCTCTTGGCCACCAGAAGGAAATGGATAAGCAAGTCGAATAGATCTCCCACTGGAAGGTGAGACTACCAATTGACTGGTATCAATAGAAAGCAGACATGATTCCATGATAACATCACCAAACATAGAAAGTTTGTCTTCCATCAAAATTATCTTCTTAGTACCATAAGATAAAATAACATATCCATTTAGGAGTATGCAACTCAAAACTACAAGTCGAGTATCACATAATGATGGCTGCGTAATTATTAACGCGAACTCTTCATCCCAGGCTGGTTTTTCATAACCAACAAACAAAATTTTGTCAGGAACGTATTGCGCAATATTTGAGAACTTGCTAGCCATCATGAACTTCTTATCAAAAAAATCCACAAACATGGACTCCTATGCGTGCGAAGCGATATGACATTTTCAAATGGATGTGCGACTTCAGCAGGGCTCGCAATCTCTTTCGACACTACATCATCTCCGCTAGTAAAAGGTACCAGAAAATTGGTTGTCGCGTCAGTTGGAGAGACATAGTTCTTGTCAACGGTTAGTTTGGGATTTCCATCAAGATACTCGGTATCAAAGAACTCAAAACCAAATTTAGCTTCACCAAGAAGTTCCCAATAATCCAACTTTGCAAATAAATAACTCCATCTTTTTCTAATTGCTTTAAATAATGTAGGTGCATATAATGAAGAACTTAAAGGAACATGCAGAAAAGATGCACACCTTGAAGCAATGATAAATTCCTTCCCTGTGTCAAATCACTTGGCCACATAACTAGAATTTGACAGTCCAATATCCCTTGCATCCGTAGCCCAACTATCAGAGTGTTGTACCAGTTACTTGACTGGAAAATCTAAGGTATCTGCCAATGGGCAATTGATTCCAGTAGTTACCACAATCCTATTTTTAACCTTATACTCACGTGCAGCAAAAGAAATGAGAAATAAAGTCGTATCGACAATTTGACTAGGAAATTGACATGTATCTTTTGTAAATTTTCAGCAACCACCATGTCTTCCTCTGAGTCGCCATAATCCAAATCAGAGTCATCAGTAAGTACCTTGGAGCAGTAGTTATACGGCATTTTGTCGAACACTTGGCCTTCCTCTATGAATTCCTCTTTCTCAGTCAACAGTATATTACTATCTTGGAGCTCCTGTAATATTTCCTTGTCTTTAAGAGGTTCAATTCCAATATGACTTCCATTAGCAACATTGTACGTGGAATTGACATTAATATGCTTTTCTGGTAACTCACTAGTTTCAGTTGTTGGTGCTTTATCTTGGGAGGTGTCCAGCATTTCCTGGAACACCTCGTATGCCACATTTATGTTGTTGTTGTTCGAGTGCTTAATCCAATACTGAGGCGAGGGTGAGGTGCTAATATTGCACCATGATGGAATAGCTGCATCTCGTGTTAGAAAATCCTCCACTGGCTTGTGCTGCTGGTGAACGGCTAAGCACCTGCCAGGTGCTTCTCTAGTTCGGGTGCGAAAATGCAGCCTTAGTTTCTCCTTAAAATGATTCCAATAAAAAAATTACTTATTTCGAAACAACCAATCAAACCAAGAAAGAGCTTCGCCATCAAGGTAGTGGTAAGGAAGAGGTAACCAGTCCTTTTCGGAGAATCCAAGGTAGGTAAAGTACAGCTCTGCCCGAAAAATCCAACCCTATGGGTTTCTACCGCCAAATCGATCTAATACAACCATTGTTATTGGAGTACGAATGGTGAAAGCACCAATGTCATGAACCTGAATTCACAACACAAAGTAAACGAGGGAAATGATTGGTTTAATTCATAAATTCAAAGAGTCAATCATTATAATAACATAAACTAGAACTAAGAAGGAGATTCAGAGAAGAAGGATAGAGAGAGCCGAGGGAGAACAGAAAGAGATAGTACTGAGGAAGAAGCCAGAATAACGAGACGAGAGGGGAACAGAGTTCTCAACAATATGCATAATCCCAATATCACTGACTTCTACTCTTTTAATTAAATAGTTCTTGGGCTCACTGCTCAACCCGGATCCCAAATTAGTCTGACCATATTGCTTGTTCTCGGCCCAATAGCTCTTCTCAGTCCAATAGCTATTTGTGTGTTAATATTCTTATTGGATTGTTGTTGATTCATAACATCATCCATGAAACTTCCTTTCCGTCTTGCATCTAATGTTGTGATCACGCTTACAAATATGGAAGAAGATCTTTGCGTGTAATTCTTGGAGAGAAAGAACCTTATTTATTTTGGTTTTTAATTTTTAGATGTGTTTGGCTAGTTTTGATAAGTTTATGATTAATGGCTAGAGAGTGATAAACTGTGAGTTATTTGGGACATTTATGTAAGATTCCCATTTTAAAAACATGGGATTTTTTCCTAACTATACCATATATGAAACCTTATTACCAAATATGTGCATAGTATGTATATTACCCGCCCAGTCCACAATTTATCTACAATTTATATACCATTCGTTATTTAGGCAGAATCTGCCATTTTTAGCGCGCGAAAAATCAGCCACAGAATTTGGGATTGATTGATTCCACATTAAATTCAAAATTTGAAACGGAAACGAGATCTCGAAGCTGCGTAATTTTGAAACGGAAAGGAGATTTATGTTCTTCATCTTCATCTTCATCTGTTCTTCCATATATTTTCCACCATTGATAGCCATTAAAAAGCTTGAAAGCTTTAAATTCAAATTTGGTTTTTCAAAAATCATTATTTGTTTGGATTGGGTGTTGTTGAAAATAATCGGGAATATGGTTTGGAGTTTATATCTCAATTTTGAGGGGTTTTGGTGAAGATTAGACTTGGTTTTGACTGAATTTCAGATTGAAACTCGAAGAAGAAGAAGAAGAAGAAGAAGAAGAAGACATATTTCCAGAAATTGTAGATAAATTGTAGATTGGGAAGACTAAAAATTCTACAAATCTTCTACAATTATGTCGAAAATGCCAATAATGCTACAATTGAAATGGGAATTGGGATATTAAAATTCAATGTATCCAGTTTGTAGATATCTTGTAGATAAATTGTAGATTATTTGTATTCTGATTGTAGATGCATTGTTTTCTGTTTTCAAAATCCAAAACGACTAAAGCTTCTACAAAATCTTCTGCAAAAAAACAGTCTACAATTTATCTACAATTTTTCTAATTTTTCTACAATTTTTCTACAATTTTTCTACAAAAGGAGGTATGTTTTGTTTATGAAAATTAACTATAGATCTGAGTGCAGTTCTTGGAAGTAGAAGACAAAACTATAGAATGCAGAACTGTGATGAAGTCATTCTCATTCAAAGGTGTAACTTACCATCATTATAAAAAATAAAATACACAAAAACTTCGAATACCAATATTTGAATCTCAGCGAAAGCAAGCAAAATTAGGTAATTTGTTTCATTTGCTGTGATTTGCATTAGCCGGACACGACAAATAGGAAGAAGAAGCAAAGAAAGAAATTCATAACTTTTTTAAGTTACGGCTGAAGGGTCAGAAAATAACTGCACCCTTAATTATAGCGCCTAATATAAATGCACCCTTAATTATATCCCTAATTTGAATTATGGTATATAAATGGTAATTTGGTATACTGAAATGTAATTAACACAAACCTTAAACATTGAGGGTAATAAGGTTTCATATATGGTATAGGAAGGTAAAATCCCTAAAAACATTGGGGCATTTGCATCTATACCCGTTTTTTGTGTCAGATTTTAACTTGTGCCCGCTTTGCAAAAAAAATTGCAAGCGTACCCGCTTTTTCACATAACTTCAGCACACGGGGCTGAAGTAGCAAAGGCAATCACGCAAAACTTCAGCATTTTAGTAGCGGGGCCTGAAGTTCAGCTCTAGAGCTGAAGTTTTTATTTTATAGCTGGCGAACTTCAGCTCTAGAGCTGAAGTTTTTCTTTTGTAACTGGAAAGAAAAACTTCAGCTCTAGAGCTGAAGTTTTTGTTCTTGGATTATTGGCTCTACCAATATTAAGGGCGGAAGCTTCAACTGGTTAAAAGTTAATTAATTGCAGGATTAGCGTTACTTCTGTTAGATGTGCTGATTGTGTTTACTGTAGCTGTTGCTTTCTCCATTACTTAGATAACGAAAACGTGTAGTTTTTCAAACAACAGAAACTAATCCATATATTAACTTATCGGGTACAAATATAATATGTATATGCAGGCTTTTAGGAAATACAACGAAGGATGCATGTTGGAAATGTTGGACCCTCAAATGAAGGAATCCGTGAACGGGGAGATACTAGTAAAAATGTTTGGTTTGGCTATCCAGTGTGCAACACCTAACGAAAAGAGCTGAAGTTTTTGTCTTTGTAACCAGAAAACTTCAGCTCTAGAGCTGAAGTTTTTGTCTTTGTAACAGGAAAACTTCAGCTGTAGAGCTGAAATTATTTAGTTCATTGTATGTTTAATGCCCCAAATAACACACATAACTTCAGCTATAATTCTATTTAATTACTACTAATTATTTCCCCACAAACTACACAACATTCAATTTACTACATTATCAACAACTGTAGTATTCTACGCAAGGCAAAGAAGAAAGAAGAAGATGCATTCTGTGAAGGAGAAAGTAAGCAACGCAGTGGAGAAAGCAGCAGCAAGGACAAAGGAAGAGGTAAGCAACGCAGCGGAGAAAGCAGCAGCAAGGACAAAGGAAGAGAAAACGATAGCAGAAGAGAGAAGGAAAGCAAAAGAAGCAGAAGCTAAAAGGAGCTGCAAGGGAGAAAGGGAACTGATGTTTTTTAAAAAGTGGGTACAAATTAAAAGTTTTTAAAAAAATGGGTATAGATTAAATAGGAGTGATCAAATAGGACGCCCCGTGCAATTTCAACAAAAACATTCGGCCAGGACCAACCCTTTATGGGCCATTTGTGTCGATCACCCGAATTATCATGTCACGAGGCCCACGGCCGTAACATAAGGAACAGGAAAATTGAAACCCGCATCACAACGGTCGAATTTCACGTGATCAGAAGGAATCCAAACGCTCTGCTGTTTGCACACATTGTCACAGAGGAAGAGAAAGGAGAGAGAGAGATGGGGAAACGGAAGGGGAGAGAGCAGAAGAAAGTTTCTGGAGGAGGAGGAGGAAGAGGAAGATGTGAGGGAAAAGAAGTGAAATTGGGTGAACAAGTTGAAGCAGGAGCTGGAGCAGAAAGCAGATTCTTCGCCTGCTATTTGCTAACGTCTATGTGCCCCAGGTTCAAGGGTCACACTTACATCGGGTTTGTTTCCTCTTCTTCCTTTTTCTTTCTCGTCAATTAGTTCAAATCATTGGCACACAGCTACTGATAATGAAATCCATCAGATTAGGGTTCCGATTGGGGAGCTTTGGTTACTTCGTCACATCTTATCCCCTTTCATTTCATTTTATTTTCTTTCTCTTTTTTTATTTTCCTAGATCCAAATTTAATTAAAGCTAACACTTGGCAAACCTTGTTTATTTCTTTTTCCTCGCACAGTTTTTATCAGATTGCCTAATTTGAAATGATAATCTTCTAAATTGCCATAAAAAATTTGTTCTTTGAGAGGTTTATGAAAATTTAAATCTTTTTTAAATTGTTTTCTGCAACCAGGTTATTTTTCTGAACATTATTGTTGTCTGCAGGTTGATATCCTTTAATTTATATTTGAAGTCCTAAATTCAAGTAACAAAATAAAAGTTTATTTTCCTCTCGAACAGAATGGATTATCCATGAATAGAACAAGAGTGTAATCCATCGTTGGTGCAGATTTACAGTGAATCCTCGCCGTAGAATACGACAACACAATGGAGAAGTGAGGATGGGTGCTTTCAGGACAAAGAAGAAGCGTCCTTGGGAGATGGTTTTATGCATTTATGGCTTTCCCACAAACGTATCTGCCCTCCAGGTACCTCTCTCTCCTGTGTTCTTTAGCTATGTGCATAATACATGTTTGGATTTGGTTTGTCAAAATTGGCCTTAGGTAACAGGTAATACATTTTTGTTGTTTTAGAAATATTTGTGATGTTTAATTTTGAAAATAATCTTTAGATAAAAAAAAGTCAATCAGGTCCTGAATAGCTGTAGCGTATTATTGTTTAGTTACACTACCTGGAAAAATGAAACTAAGATTAATTTGAGGAAACTTAAAGCAAAAATATATCTTAATTAAAAATTTAAAAAGTATACTTTTCCATCAAATCTATACACAAGTATACACATTGTCTTTCGAGAAACCAATTTTCAGAACCCAAATCCAAACATGCACATAGGTCTCGAGGAACCAATCCCTAGACCATAATACTCTTAAAAGAAAGCTGAAAAAAATCCAAACACTACAAACTGTTTTCATAACCATTTGGTTACCTCTGCTCGCTCACATTGAATCTCTTAATGCAAAAATCTAACTTCCCCAGTGTTTGTTGTTGGCTTAATTCTCATGTGAAATAAACAAAGGGGAAATTTGCAACTTAACTTCAAGTGAACCAATTGAGAAATAGCGCAAACTGTTGGAATTTCAGGAGGTTTTATGTTACAAAAAGGTTCATTTTTTGAAACTTTACATTATGCAAATTCCCATTGTAACCTGAATTTGCTTCAAGGATAGACCAACTGAAGCTGGTTGGAGATATCAATTTAATTGTTTTCTTAATTGAATGTTGCAGTTTGAGTGGGCATGGCAGCATCCAGTAGAATCCCGTGCAGTTAGACAGGCAGCAGCATCGTTCAAATCTCTTGGAGGAGTTGCTAACAAGATTAAATTGGCATATACAATGCTTACTCTCCCTGAGTGGCAAAGGTATGAAATTTATTGCTCAGCTTTCCTGAGGTGGACTTACAAGCCGTAATGAATTTTGTCTTATTAGTTTTGTTTTCTATGTTCAGCCTAAATCTCACCGTAAATTTCTTCTCCACAAAATACAAGATGCATTCAGCTGGTTGCCCTAATATTCCAGAGCACATGAGAGTCCAAGTTTGTGCGCTGGACGAACTTCCCTGTTATACAGGAATTGACAAGAATGAGTATACAACCAATGATTGGGACAACAGTGAAGATTATTTGGGGAGCAGTGAAAAGTTAACAGACGAAGGATCTGCAGGATCCACAACTTCTGATAGTTCTGCTAGTAGCGCTGTAGAAAATATCGATGAACATTTTGATTGGAGAGAAGAACTTTACGAACATGCTGAAGAATATAGCACAACCCATAGAGAGGATCCCGAGCAGACATATATTATCATTGACTCGCCGGTGAATGCGCCATCCTCAATTCAAAGTGGTTGCTATGGCATAACAGACAACTCAAGGGACATATTCGAATTGGACGAAGAATTTGGTGGTAAAGTTTGTCAGCAGAGCATGAATGCTGGTTTGTCAAGTGAAGTTGAGGTTATCGATGTTTTTACTCCTCCATGCTACAAGGTAAGTGGAGACAGCAAGAAAAGAAGACTTTCTACTGCTTGTCCTGAAATAATTGATTTGACAGACTCACCTATTTTTGTCTGATGCTACAAGGTAAGTGGAGGATTTTTACCTTTTTTAGAATTGTACTAAGGGTAAAACTCCCCTACTATATAAAGGGGAAGTTTCTTATTTAATGGACACTGTAACATACATATCAAGGCAATACAAACTTGTTTCTTTGCTTCTTAATTATTTAGAAGTTCTTATTTTAACCATAGCTCTTCATATATATTTGGCTTTGAATTGAGGGTCTGGTCGAGGGCGAAACTACTGTTAAGCCTAAATCCGAGCCCCGACTCAACGTAAATTGGTTTGGTTGTTTATCTTGTTTTTACTTCGCTTATCTAACATTCTTGATTGCTTGTGTTGAATCAATCCACATATCCTTAAAACCGCATACGAATTTAATTGTTATACGTATGCTCTTGTTCAACATATATATATATATATATATTCGTATTATCCACATCAGTTCTGGAATCCGAATTCCGGTATTATATGGACTGAAATGTACAGAGACTCTGTGTATGTGTATCGATAGAGAGAAATGTACAGAGTCTCTGTACATTTCAGTCCATATATATCTTCGTATTATCCACATCAGTTCTGGAATCAACGCCGCTCGTCTTTTCTCTCTATCGATACACATACACAGAGTCTCTGTACATTTCAGTCCATATAATACCGGAATTCGGATATTGATGCATTTCCTTTTGGAAAATTTACTGGCTTGAGTTTGAAACGTATTGCTAAGGAACGAAAGACCTATGAATCTCCTTTTTTCATTCTTCAGAAGGTCCATTACGAGAACTGCAAAGCTTGGCACTAACGACAAAATCCTCAAGGCATTGATCTGCATATCTGTGCAAATACCTCTCAGAAATCGCTGTTGAGAGGTAACAACCACATATTTTCCCTTCAGTTTGATTCATATTAGTATGTCAGATTTCGTTTTCTATAGTCATTTAAGTGCTTATCCTCAATTTATTTGTAAACCGAGTAATCACTTCCTTGAACTTGAATTTTGTTTTTCTATTACTCATTTAAGTCCATCTATGTTGTATGAGGTTGGGTGTTGGCCAGTGAAGATCGCTATGTCCAGAAGATGAAGGCAGTAGAGATGAGGATGTTGAGATGGATGTGCGGGCACACCAGGTTAGATAGGATTGGGAATGGGGTTATTCGCAACAAGGTGGGAGTGGTCCTTATTGAGGACAAGATGCGGGAAGCACGGTTTAGGTGGTTTGGTCATGTGAGGAGGAGGAGCACAGACGCCCCGGTGAGAAGGTGTGAGAGGTTGACATAGGAGGGCCTACGGAGAGGTAGAGGTAGGCCGAAGAAGAAGTGGGGAGAGGTGATTAGGCAAGATATGTCGCAACTTCAGCTGACCGAGGACATGACCCTTGATAAGAAGGTGTGGAGGTCGAGGATTAGGGTAGTAGGGTAGGTAGTATCGAGTGTTCATAGCAGTAGTTTTGGTACGCAGTCTCGCTTTCTGTTGGTAGTAGGTTTTTATGACTAACCGTTGTTTTCTTTCATTGTTGATCACTTTACTATCTTGTTTTATTCTGCTTTTTATGTGGCTCTTTGGTGTTGTCCCTTCTTGTCTATATTTTCATTAATGTGGTGCTTATGCTTTCCGGAGCCGCCGGTCTAGTGGAAACAACCTCTCTATCCTCACGAGGTAAGGGTAAGGTCTGCGTACACACTACCTTCCCCCCAGACCCCACGGTGTGGGATAATGCTGGGTATGTTGTTGTTGTTGGGATAATTATGGACTTGACATCAAAATTCAATATGCATCTTCTATTTGAATGGTATCTTAGAACAGTTGCTGGTTTACAGTAGGTGAGCATGTATTTTGGTAATTGGAAGGTAAAACTTGGATTATGTGTGATTTGACTGATGCTATGGTATTTTGTGGAGGCAATCTAGTTTCCATGTGTCATTGGCTAGGTATTGAGTGGTCTTTTTATAGGAGTACATCAAAAGTCTGTAATTGCATTAGCTTTCTTGTATGTGTCGATAAGATGATTATCTGTTTTCGAGTTTCTGATTAAAACTTATAGTGAAACTCATCATTAAGTAAGTAATAATAGAAGAATATTTATGACATTTTCTCCACTTTATAATCATCTAGCATGTTAATTTTTGGAGGCAGAGATTAGCCATTGTATATTTTAACTTATTATTACTAGCCTGTAAAACTCATATGATTTTGACCTGCATGAGAGATTATTTCACTTAGGTGATACTTGTTTTTCATTTCCTTCTTTTTCCCCTCTGGTCCTTCTGTAATTATCTCTTCACGATTTAGTGGAGGCTGCAAGGAAGATTTCTGCCACAATTTTTCAATGGATGGGTGGGTCGAGGAGGAAAGCCGATACTGTAAGTGTCAAAGGAAATAATTTGTTATCCTGTAGATATACCTGCATATTTCTGAATTTGGAAAATAAATTGTTTCTTTCTTTTTTCTTTTATGGAAATAAATTATTTCTTTCCTGGTACTTTGGAAGCACAATTGAGCAAATTGCAGTTTGCTCTTTATAGGAATCATTTTACAAATATCATAGAGTAGCTATTTTCTAGCAATTTTTTCTTCATTTTTCTTTCTACTATATGCTCTTTATAGGGATCATTTCTAGTTTGCAGGGAAAAAGAGTGATCTTTCTTTATATGTGCCTTCAGTTCTTTTAGGATGGATACAGTGTTAGAACCCGCACGGATAATTCTAAAGAACGTTAATCTTATGAAATTATAAATTGATATATCATATTGTTTCAATAAATTGTAGTTGCTATTTTATTTTTAATACAATGTGCGGAAATATAACAAAATTCATTTAAATTTAAAGGATGCACATTATATCGTAATCATATTCTTTATTAAATTAGAAAGTACTTAGTATTATACGTTTTTTAATGCAACTTTTTATTAACTTGTCAATTGGGTTAATATTTTGTCACTATTTTTCTTTTAATACAACAGATATATATATATATATATATATATATATATATATTATTACTCTGAAAATATTTTTATTATTTTTAACTTATGTTATACTGTTAAAAATTCTTCAATTGTCTAAATTTATCAAAAATATTTTGAGTGTTATTTACTTAACTTTTACTTTTTAACAAAAAATTAATTCAAAGCATAAATATCCTAAGATTATCTTTACACCNCTCCCCCTGGTACATTCTTTTCTACTGTAATACTTGATTAGTTTTCTCATTTTATATTTTACTTATAACTAAAATAATGTAGTATTTTTTACTAAATTATAATTTTGAATTCATCAAACGTATAAGAGATAAGCCTTCTATTACTTTTGTAAAAAAATCTACCAATTTTTTTAATAATTGTTATTTTGTGTTATATAAATAATATCCTTATCTTATGTATAAATATCCTAATGTTATCTTTATATTTTTGTTATTTTTCAATATGAAATTATGAGTTTTATTTAATAGCTTAAGTTTCTTAATATGAGAAATTTAATACTATCGTTTGGATATATATATATATATATATATATATATACACATAAGGATAATTTGATGTAAGAAGANATATATATAGTTTTTCTCATCACAATTCTAATTATAATAATATCATTGTCCGCTACTCCTATCATTTTTTCTTCATTTTGCTTTCTACTTTATGCACTTTATATGGATCATTTCTAGTTTGTAGGGAAAAGGAGTGAAGAACTATCTTTCTTTATAGGTGCCTTCAGTTCTTTTAGAATGGATATTTGATCAAATGCCTTTTTGTCTCCTAGGTTTAGGTAAAGTTGAAATGTCTACACCATTCCATTCACTGCAGGTACCTATAGAATGGATATTTGATCAAATGCCTTTTTGTCTCCTAGGTTTAGGTAAAGTTGAAATGTCTACACCATTCCATTCACTGCAGGTACCTCGTAGGTAATTGTACTTTATGCATCAAGAATAACAGAACATGAATGATAATTGTGCAAATACCATCTTTACGAGATTTTATGACAACCAAAAAGGGATAAATGGATTCCTCCTGAATAAGTAGTAGTTAGGACTACCTTTGGAAGTCAAGATTATGGATAGGTTTCAAATTTAAAACCGGCCGTGAAAGCTGCCTCTACCAGTTTTATCGACTGAAAACAGCATCTGCACATTTGGAGAGCCATGCATTACATTTCCCAAGTTTTGAGGAGATCATCTGGCTGTTAACAGATCATCATAGATGATAAAATTGTATGCTTGAACTAAGTCCTCTTTGAGGCATTAATGTTATGGATGTAGTTTACAGTAGTGTTGCATCCAGCAAGAAGGAACTCCAAATTCCAGTAGAGGTTCTTAAGTATTTCCAGATAAGCAAATAAGTAATACAGGCACAGATAACCACCCAAATCCTTGATAATGCTCACTTGGTAACTGAGGTAATCTAGCCACTGGAAAGTGCTCTGAGTACCTTTATGGGGATGCACAGCGTGCTTAAGGGTTATGTATTTTAAAGTCAAAGCCATAGATATATGTTCAATCAATGCATGCACGCCTCATGCTTATATTACATTTTGGAATACTAGAGAGGATTCTTTGCAAGTACTAGACACCTGATTGATTCTCAGGTTGCAGTATTTGGATGCTCCAACTTTCAATGGAAAAGTCAATCTTACATAGGACCTTAAATTGGCATACTTAATAATCTAGCTCTTCATGCTTCAATAATCTGATTATGGACACATTTTATGCTTTATCGCTAGCACTACACAGAGTTGCATGGAAATCTTTGAAGTTGCTCTTGCTAACTGCTGCTTTTATGTTGCATGACTGCAGACCCTTATCGTGTGGTAGGTCCTCATCCCCAAGGGCTAGGAGAAAAGTTCTTTCATATGACTACCTTGTTAGAATAGTTATGTGAATGTATGTAATTAGTTCTAGCCCCTTATGTAATAGGAGTAGGTTATGTGATATGTATACATATAAATAGGGCTTATTGTAACATAGAAAATTAATCAATATAATTTTTCCGTGTCATATTTCTCACATGGTATCAGAGCGGCAGTGAGAAAACATCCGGGAAAGAGAACCCACCCAAAACAGTCGTCGTGCTTCAATTCCTGCGACCTTTTAGGGTTGTTTTTCGAAAAAAACCAATTATCATCGGTGTTGTGCAAAAACCAACACCACCACGAGGTAGATCAGCTTCCGGCGACCAACCCGTAAAAATTTCTCCGGCAGACCCCCTCCCACGCGCCCTCACGCGCCGCCGGGAAAATATTTTCCGACGAGTCTCCGTCTTCACGCGCCGGCGCGTGAGGCTTCTTCCGGCCATTTTTGGCCGAGCTTCTTCAGTAGGGGTGTGCAATCGAATCGGTTTATCGATAAATCGAATCGATTATTTGTTATCGGTTTATCGATTTATCGATTTCGATTTCGATTTTGAAATTTTCCTTATCGAGTTGTCGATTTCGATTTTGTCCTCTTTGGTTATCGGTTTATCGATAAACCGATAAGATATACTAAAAAGACAATTTTTTTTTTATAATACCATTTCCTTTACCCTAAGTCCCTAACCCTATTATTTCCTCTACCATATTTAAGGAATGATCATATTTAAAGCTCAAGGGAATGAAGTTCAAATTAATGGAAAACAAAATTAGCCGTGATGATGTATTTTTTTTTTGTTTTTTATACCGTTGGAATGTTGGTGCCATACATTTGATCCCTTACTTTAGTTTCGTTGCATGTACTTGTTGATACAATTTTTATGTTATAAACGGTGTTTGTCTTATTTTAGCTTCCTTTTGTCCATATTAGTTAGGCGTGTTTATAGCGATATACTTTCCGTGGAATCTCGCAATTTTTCTTATTGGTGTAATCGATAATCGAATCGATAAGCCCCAAAAATTGATAAATGGAAATCGAAAAAATCGAAACCTTATTGAAACGATAACGATAAGCATATGTACAAATCGATAATCGATAAGTAATTATCGATAAGGGTCAAAATCGAATCGATAAATCGAATGCACACCTCTATTCTTCAGGACAGCCTGGTCGCACAGCAATTCCGAGCCTACCCATACCTTTTTCTTTTTATTCCGATCACTTTGAGATTTTCCGGCAACTACACTAACTTTCCGGCAGCTACAGTGATTTTTTCTGACAACTTTTTTTGGACAGCTTACTTGGGAGGTTATTCCGAGTCTTTTCATTCAAGTTTAAATCAAATTCCGACCACTTTTATATTCTCCGACGCAACATTATAATGGCATTCGTCCTTTAACTCACAATCCATTGGATCCAATCCAGATGGTTTCGTTACCAGATTATATTGAGTTCCTTCAGTACAAAGCACGTAAACAAACATCTTCAGGATTAGCCTCCGTTGTTCCAACAGATAGTAGCGTGACTTGTGTCTCCCAATCTTCAACCTCTGAGTCTTGGGTCATTGATTCAGGTGCATCCGATCATATTTCTGGTAACCTTGAGGATGAGGTTTATAACCACCTGGTTTTGTTGCTTAGGGGTATGTCTAGTAGCCTTGTATGTCGGTTGCGCCGGTCCCTTTATGGTCTAAAGCAGTCTCCTCGAGCCTGGTTTGGTAAGTTCAGCACAGTTATTCAGGAGTTTGGCATGACTCGTAGTGAAGCTGATCACTCTGTATTTTATCGACATTCTGCTTCAAATCTATGTATTTATCTGGTCGTTTATGTTGACGATATTGTTATTACTGGCAAAATGATCAGGATGATATTAGTAAGTTGAAGCAACATCTCTTTCAGCACTTTCAGACTAAGGACCTGAGCAATTAAAGTATTTTCTGGGTATTGAGGTCGCTCAATCTAGCTCAGGTATTGTGATCTCACAACGGAAGTATGCCTTGGATATACTTGAGGAGACAGAAGTGATAGGTTGTAGACCTGTTGACACTCCGATGGATCCGAATTGTAAACTTCTACCAGGACAGGGGAGCCTCTTAGCGATCCTGCAAGATATAGGCGGTTTGTTGGTAAATTAAATTACCTCACAGTGACTAGACCTGACATTTCCTTTCTTGTGAGTGTTGTGATTCAGTTTATGGGTTCTCCCTGTGATAGTCATTGGGATGTAGTTGTCCGCATTCTTCGGTATATAAAATTAGCTCCAGGAAAAGGCTTATTGTTTGAGGATCGAGGCCATGAGCAGATAGTTGGATACTCAGATGCTGATTGGGCAGGATCACCTTTTGATAGACGTTCTACGTCTGGATATTGTGTCTTAGTAGGAGGAAATTTGGTGTCTTGGAAGAGCAAGAAACAGAATGTGGTTGCTCGCTCTAGTGCACAAGCAGAATATCAAGCAATGGCTATGGCGACATGTGAGCTAATTTGGATCAAACAGTTGCTCAAGGAGTTGAAATTTGGTGAGATTAGTCGGATGAGACTTGTGTGTGATAATCAAGATGCTCTTCATATTGCGTCAAATCCAGTGTTGCATGAGAGAACTAAATACATTGAGATTGACTATCACTTTGTTAGAGAAAAGATTCTCTCGGGAGATATTGCTACAAAGTTTGTGAAGTCGAATGATCAGCTTGCAGATATTTTCACCAAGTCCCTCACTGGTCCTTGTATTAACTACATATGTAACAAGCTCGGTACATATGATTTATATGCACCAGCTAGAGGGGGAGTGTTAGAATAGTTATGTGAATGTATGTAATTACTTCTAGTCCCTTATGTAATAGGATTAGGTTATGTGTTATGTATACATATAAATAGGGCTTATTGTAACATAGAAATTAATCAATATAATTTTCCCGTGTCATATACAGGGACAAATGGCATTGAACGTGAATTGGTGAGAGCACTTCCTGATGCTATTTTCATTCAGTTAGGGTTGCCAGCTCGCTGCATGTTTTATGACTAACACTCCCTCTATGAGTTTATCACCTTCTATATTTATTAGTAGTCTCTCCTTTCCATGGGATGCTGGACCATTACCTGTATAAATCTTAGTGCTTCTATTACTTCATTTCCCATAATTGTAAGCTTACTGCTGTATTTCTTTCTAGCTTCACTTTTTGTCTGGTGTGTGTAGTTAGGATAAATGTTTTCTTGATGAAAAAGCAGGAATTTGACTGTTTTGAGCATATGCCTATTTGTGTACAATTATATAAACTCTTACTCCAGATCTCATGCTTAACCCAATATGTAACCATCATATCAACCTGTTTTGAAACATCGCACCCATGCCCTATCTCCACTTTCTATCACTATCATATCTCACGTATCTTCATATCTAAACAAACACATAAAAATGATTTAGGAAATAGTTTTCAAGATTCTATAATAATTATGCCACACCAAACACACCCTCTTCATCTACTATACCTTATGGTATCAAGTTCCAGGCTTCCAACAACTTTATGTTTCCTTTTAGTTTCAGTATGTCTGGTTTTTAAATGGTGGGCATGCGTCAGCTGTATCTTAAATTCTACAGATTCCGTGTTTATTGCTTCACTTGATGTGTACAGCGATTTTATGCTCTTGATCTTGAAATTGAGGAAATACCTTTATTCTATTCCATTCCATCTTCTTTTCGATATAGGCATGTTTTTTTTTTAAATAAACCCCTCACCGTATGAAAAGAAAAACAAACAACAAAAAAAACAGTGTTATTTGTAGCAATTTTCTGGGCTTCTGGCAATGCAGATGTCCTTCCTTTATACCAGCCCTAATTGGTTGTGTGGACGCACAACAGGATAGCATGATGGTGGCCGTAGAACTACCTTTTTGTACGAGTCCTTTAAGCAGATCCTCTTGCTCCAGGGGAACAGCAGATTTACGTGGCAGCGCGGAACATGAGTTACTAGATACCAAATGGTTCTCCTCTAGTGATAACAATTTCACTGATCTGTACACTTTTGAGAATGAAGAAATCTTCGGCAAAAGCAAGGAGAGTTCAAACACAATTTGGAATGGTAGGGGTCCTTAATGTCTTCTCCTCATCTTTTCTGGCGTCTATGTTAACATCTCCAAAGTGGAGTTGAGTATCTTTCTTATTAGGGTAGCTCGCTCTTCATTTTTACTGGAAAAAGTGTGTAATTAAACTTTGAAATTCCTTAGTGGCGCTTGCTTTGAAGTTTGCAAACTCAGTTTTAGGAAAAAAATCTCCTTGAACTATTGGACAAAAAAAATTCCAAGAATTTTGCAAGCTAAAATGAAAATCACATTAATAACATGGTAACTTGTCCAGACGTTCATACATATATCTTTCGAAAACTTGAATTTCCGGCATTATATTTGACAGTTCACGAATACTAATAACGTTTCTGCCAAATTGACCCAAAAACTGAAGTTTCTGGCCGGTGCAAGGGTTTGTCTTCAGGAAAGGAGAAGTCATTGGATGGATCAGGTTCTGTCAATAAGTGTAGTGACTGTGAGGAATCAGAAGAAAAAACTCCAGAAGTGGACAGGACAAGATTGTTTAACTATTCTGCACGTCCAGAAGAAACATCTTCATCTGTAGAGATATCTACTGTATTGAAGGGGGATCAGGACAGTTCAGATAAGTACGTATCTTATAGAGTTTTGCCGAAGTCCTAAGTAAGTACATATCTTATCGCATTCTAACTTCTATTAGCGACTCTTACATGCCATTTTAAGTAAAATACAAAAAAATAGCCGAAGCGTATCGATATCAAAGATAAACTGAGATAATTGGGACGGTTTCGAAAAGTCTTATTTTGATTATGCAAAAGTGAACAACCGAAAAATTTGTATGGTACATATTTTATAAAATAACTGGCCGAACCGAACAATTGACACCCCGAACTATATTCAAGCACCATAAGCCAAACTTCTCTATGAAAGTCACCTACCCACAATAAGTTCATACTTCATACAACAACTTAGGTTATGATGGGGATAAAAAAGGGCAAGGAAAGATATTAGTGGAGTGGCAAAAATATACTGAAAGTTAAATTAGTGATAAGAAACATAAATGTCACATATTTACAGAGTCCATGTCCAAAGGAGAAGATATATACACTGTATTAACTTTTTTCTTTTCCTTTGTTTTTTGCTCCATCGGGCACTCTGAGATAACTTTCTTATTACAGGTCACTAATCCATAGTGGAAGATGATCTATTGGTGTATATTGTGTTTCAATCGGTCCATCTTCATCGATAGGGAAGTCGAGATCTAAAAATGCATTGAAAATGCTGATCGCAATGCTATTTGGCTTGACAGTTGGTATCTGAATCTTCTACTGTGTTGAAGTACAAGGAGGATAGTTTGCCATCAAATGTAGAGACTAGTTGATGGACAGATAATCCACAGTAACGCTTTCCCAGCCGAGCAATGCAAATGTCTATGATCTTTTTAAACATGCTATCTGCTTGGACTAATGGCTGCTCAACGAACTTGACGAGAGGCATCCACTGCATTATAAAGACAGGCAGCTTAAGTAAGGCTTCATTTCAAGTCCTTATTTTCTCATTGTCTCTAAGTTTGTCTACTATTCCGTGCTTGTCAATTAATGTATCTCTTTCCTATTTATGCATGAATCCCTCCTCTACTCCCTTAACCAAAGGCTTTAAACAATTCCCTGAAACTGTAGCCTGCCTTACAAAATGTCAAAATCACAGAAACATTTCGGTGTATGCTCATATTTTCTTTCTCAATATTGTTGAAGTTTTTCATATCTTTACTCCAGAGGTACAGATAATGGAGAGACAAGTATATAGTATGGACAGTGTGACCACTGGAGAATCTGAGATGGGAAGGGGGTATCTTTTAACATGTTGTCTATTGTAGGAAAATAAATGACAAGTTTCTTTGTTCAATATGCTTACCTTGGCCTCCTGAATTTCCAGATCATCAACCATGATCCTTGTTGACAGGGGTCTTAAGAGGCAGACGAAGAACAAATCGGACTTTTCAAAAGCCACATTGTGAGCATGCCTGAAGAAGAACATATGTTAAATTGAATAATGGTCTCTACTTGGGAGAGAAAGTAAAATCAACAAATAGTGTTGAATGCAATCACCATTTTCACATGCTATAATGTGTCTCTTAAATAACATATCAGAGAGCTAAAAGCTAAATTCATTATCAAGGATAGTTCTATAGCTTTTCAAACAAAATGTCAGTATCAGATTCACATCCTTTCCACAAATGCCTCACTGAAGCAAGAAGTGAATGGTGAATGAAGTTCCGAAGATACTATGTATTGGACCAAATCTTTTGCTTGGATAATTTAGCTTTTATGTTTTTTGTTCTTTCTAGCTCCTTTCTGCTATCTGGTAGAAACACAAAAAGTAGGCACTTTTCATAAAGATAGAATCCATCGACATTTGAAGAGACAAACATTTTCTCACCTGAAAGCAATAACCTCCACAAATTCAGTATCGATCTGGAAAGATTAGAAACGAATATTATGGCAGCTCTAGATTGCATATTTATAGGGGAAATATGTTCCTATGAATATCTTACCCCAGTCTCCTCCTTCACTTCTCTCACGACTCCTGTAAAGATCTCCTCCGACTGATATTGGCATTAAAAGTTAGAATGAGTTTAGTGATTGAAGTGAAGATTTCATGTTTGCACAATAACCAGAACATACCTCAAGAATGAAGCCGGTTGGTATTTTCCATAGACCTGAAAGAGCGGGCGCAGAATGTTTCTCTTGTACAACAAGCACCTAAAGCAGTCATTTCTTGAGGTCAAGGGACTACAGAAGATATACATGTAATATTATGGCATGCTAGGAGTGTCTTTTTAACAGATATATTTACCTCATTTTTGTCATTGATCACAAAACCCCCAACTCCAACTTGATGAGATGCATTAGAAGGAAGCATGCACGGATCATCGGGAAGCCAATATGTCATCATGAGATATCCTCTTTCCGCGTGATGGTATTGAAATCCTTCCTGTGAAATTAGTTACTTTAGAGTTTGACTTTGCAGGAAGAGTTAGCATCAGAAACTAAAGGATCATGGTATATACTTTACTCTTCAGATACTAAAACCAAAAATATATCTTTTTTTTGTTTGATTTGCACCGGGTGTCCTAGTCTCTAAGAGCCCCAACTAATCCCGGGGGTGCACAGGCTCTCGGCAAGGAGTTTCCCGCAAGTGCACCACGGTTAATTCAGGTTTTACCCAGTCCGATGGCCCTCAGAAATTGTTTGCACCCGGTGGGTTTCGAACTTGAGACCTTGAAAGGGAGCAAACCCCAAGGCTCAAGTCTATTGCCACCAGGCCAACCCCGGAGGGTTAAAAAACCAAAAATATTCGAGAAATAAAGTTTAGTACCGATGATATTCAATACCTTTACTGCTACAGGAACAAGATCACATTTCTCAACTGGTAGTTTAAGCCAAATTCCCTTCTTCCCCTGCAGTGTGCAACATCAATTAGAAACTAGGTGTTCCATAAATTGTAGTAATATATTTATATCTGAAGAAACACTCAGACTGGTGGCATGTGCATTGTTCTACAATCACAAGCATCTCTGCAATAGATCAAGCAACAACAACCCAGTATAATCCCACAAGTGGGGTCTGGGGAGGGTAGTGTGTACGCAGACCTTACCCTACCCTGGGGTAGGGAGGCTGTTTCCAAATAGACCCTCGGCCCGCAATAGAACAAGCGAAAAATGAAAATGCAATGGATTCCTCTACATTATCAGTTTAACACCATAAAAGTAAATGAAGGTGTGGAATTCTGAGCAAGTACCTTCATTTTCCAGTGGGAGAGAGATGCGCGAAGTACAGATGCAAACATATTGGGATTGGATGGGAGTGTTTGAGGATTAATGAGTACTCCTCCATATTCATCATCAGAAGCATCAAGCATTCTTACATCTCTAAGATACAGTCCTGAACAGTTTGTACCATTTATCTGACAAGAAAAAGTGTCTACTACAAGATTCTCTTTGCTAATGGAGCTTGCAGCATCATAAGAAGCCTTGAGTACAACACCTGGATGTAAAACAGGCAAAAGCCAATATGAATGTCTGAAGAAATATCATCTACTTTTAGTATTACTGTAAGAAATGTTATCATCTCAGATGTAGCCACTGCCTTCTATTTCTTGCCTAATGAAACAGCATGTATTTCTCTAAGCTATAGATACTTTGTACTGCCTCATGGTAGATTGTTCTACTTTAAGTTCATGCTCTCCCTTCTAATCCCTTGAGGTTGTCAATATGAATACTTATGTCCATGTAAGCCCGTATAAGTCCATTATTGTACACAATATAACAAATAATAAGAAAAAGATTGTAATAAAACTTCAAAAGGGCAAAGACGACCCAAAAATGAAAAGGCTTGGTATAACACAAGCATATGATTTTCTCAGATAGAACTCAAAATCTGGAAAAATCGCATCCCCCCTTATTAAGCTTTTTCCCTCCTTTTATTTATTAAGCTTAAAAATGCACACTAAGCTTATGTTGCTCGAATTCTTCCAAAAATCTAGCCGCGCCCGAGTCAGATCCTCAAATAATGCAACTTTAGAAGGATCGCACCCGGGGGCGTTTTTGAAGAGTTTAGCAACATAGCACAAGACATTAAAAGGACGGTCCACCACTTAAATAAATGCAAGGCAGCAAGAAAAATGTATGCATTTGCTTAACCATCTTTAGTGCAAATTAGCTCATAAGACTGTTGAACTGCAGGTGGAGGGGGGGATTAGAAAAGGGAAAGAAGAACATGGGGCTGGCCTAATGATCTTCTGATTAAACTACGAAAACCCAAAGTGTAAAGAGAACATACAATAATTAACACTAGAAGAGAATTAAATGAAAATAACAAAAACCCATGCGTAAAACTTCTCATTAGAAAATTACCTCTGCAAGAATAGAACTTTTGAGTCCCATTGATACCAAACATTAGCTTTGTATCAAGAAATGAGCTTGATTTCTTCACCTCTCTACCAACTAACTTAGATAAAGACAAGAACTCGGAATTAACCAATTTCAACTCCATTCTTTACACACTACAAAACCAAAGCCTTTTTCTTGTCGTTTAAACTAAATTCCAGAGAGCTCAATCCACTGAAAAACCAGCTAATTTTTACTCAATAAATACCCAGAAATTATTGTATCATCTGTGATCTCAAAACCTGCAGATACCCTTGCAAACTAAAAACAAGAATATCTTGGGCATATTCCACCCATCGGAGAGTTCTAAAAAGATTCAAAACTGAAGAATAAGAATGTAGAAACGGATTTGTTGTTATATAGTATGGTTAAGAAATGATATTTTATAGCAAAAATTTAAGGTAGAGGGTCTTAGGTTGCAAAAGTTGTGGTGGAAAATGAACCTTGAATGAGAAACTATAATGAAAAGACAAATAAGGTGGAAAATCAAGTGGAAATATCTTCGGCTGTTTGTATAAACTCAATAATAATTGTAGAAAACGAGGGAAGTAAAATGGAATTGACAAGAAACAGAAGTATATGAAGTCACTGTAGAGACTATAGAGGAAACAGGGGAAGACCAAGGACTAGAGCAGCATAAGTACGTTTACAACTCATTAATTTGTTTTTTTTTCTCCAGAAAAACAATGATAGATAAAAATCATCCAGAAAATAAGGACCCGGTTGGCCATAGACTTTTCCAAAATTAATTTGGGTATTTTTTTGATAAATATATGTTTGATCATAAATTTTATCCATATTTTAGTAAATTTCCAAAACCCAAAATATTACTATTAGATTTTTTTTTAAAATTGTCCCAATTTTTTGTATTTTATAAAAGAGCCCACCATTTATTATTTTATAACAATGTTGGTTTATCTTCTCAGTCATCTGATAGTGTATAATGTAGTTCGTTATAAAAATGATAAATTTGTACCAAATTTATTTATGTTCAGGACTATGATTTGCGATAATATAATGAATGTTATTGATGAAGGTATTGTTGGGTATTTGTGATAGTTTTTAGAACTTGTGGAGACAAGTCATGTTTCATGTTTTTCAAAAAGCAAAAGTGAATATGTATTGAAAATTGATGTTCAAACACATTTTCATCTTCAAATCAAACTTCACCCAAATTAATTTTTCAAAATAAATTTAAAAATCTATGGGGAAATGCTAGCTATGTTTGCATAATTTTGGCCTCGATATAATTGTTATGTCCGAATTTGTTTAGCATAGTTGAGCCGGCTTGGAACTTAATTTCAGAACTTTGGTTTCTTTTCAAAAAAACAAAAAAGATAATGATATATTTAGAGGCGGATCTAGAATTTTTACGAGACGGGAACACTTTTTATTTTAGGTATTGAGGATGTCAAGCTAGTTATAATTATTTTTAAAGTATACACACACATAAATAAATATATATATATATATATATATATATATATATATATATATATATATATATATATATA